TATTTAATAATACATAATATAAATAAATATTTTATTTATTTATGAACACTGTTTTTATCGTATTTTAATTGGTTTTTATTCTTATTTTTATTGTAAGCCACCCAGAGTTGCTCTCTGAGTGAGATGGGTGGCGACTAAATTTGAAATATAAATAATTAAATAAATATAAATATAATATAATACAAATAAATAAACCAGGGATTTAAACATGTCATACAAGTTATATCTTTCTAATATACAATTGTAAATAGTTAAATATATATTATATCACATTAAAGAATCTCTATTAAATGGAACTAAACTTTTATATCAGGAATCATACTTAACACAATGTAAATCAGTGAATGAAATCATACATTATAATAAATTCAATCCATATTACTAAGAATTTAATCTGATTTAAGTATCTTGTAAAGTTGAAATATAAATTCTATGCATAGTTAAGCCCAAATTTGAGGTGTGATACCAATTTATGTATTAGAGTATAGTCTAAGAATGTTTTGCAGTTTTTGTTGAAATCTGTGTCAGATTTACTTTTGAGGTATGAAGTTATTCTGAACATCATAGCCTTCTCCCACAACTTGGTTAGCTATTCTTCTATAGAAGAGATCAGGCAACCTTTTCAGTAAGAAACATATACAGTCACTTTGTGTGAGATGGGTGGCTATATAAATAAATAAAATAAATAAATAAAATAAATAAATAAATAAATATCCTTGCAGCAGTTGTCATATGTAAGGCTAATTCAGTATATTTTGAAGAGATATGTGGTTTCGTAAACTTTAACAAAAGTATGGTAGGTTGAAATGGAAATTCAACTTTTAAGATTTGTTTCATTCTAAATGTGAATCATTTTCCAGATTTGTTGAGCTTTACAGCATCACCACCAAATATAAATGAATGAGCTAACCTGCTCACTACATTTCCAGCATTTCATTTTGAAAATGAATTGTCCATTTTAGCAATCAAAACTAGAGTAATATACCAACAATAGAATATCTTATACCAGTTTTCTTAAATCCAACATAGAAATTAATTCTCAATGGAAAACATTCTTGAATTACAATCTTATACATAGAAGCGTGACACATTCAAAATCTGGGTTTTAGAGTTCATATCTTTACTTGATACATAATTCATAATATTGATTTAAGATATTACTTACTATCTACAGTCTTCTTTTTAGTGATTTGAACTATGTTAACCAAACACTTTTAGCTTCATGTTCAGCAGGGACACATGGGTTTTTGATTAGGAAATGGATATGAGATATCTTATAGTATCATAAACTTCTAATGATGCATTGGAATATATTTTATGATATCTTAGATTTGTTGTTTATCTATCTGTATTTCACTGCCTATACCTAGTTATTCTATTTATATCATTTGCTTTTTATATCCTTTCAAAAATATATAACGATAAAACTTTTTAAAAAGCTAAACAAATAAACAAACAAACCAAACATCTTATACCAATTTTCTCTGAGTATAATGCTTGGAGTAAATTTAATATTCTTCTCCAATTGAAATCCCCATTGTTGCATCTCTATTATTGCATTCAAATTCCACATCCAGGTAATCATATAGTTTTTGATCTGTTTAGATTCTATATCATACTTCACCAGCAGTCTATAAATAAGATTCAGCAAATGTTCCAAGTTAAGTATTGTAAGATTTTAAATTTCAGTCCAGTTCTTCAGTATTCCGTGTTTCTGTAGTTATTTTAAGACTATATTACATATGAAGATACTGAAATGAATCAGGTAAACTGGACCATTGTGAGGTAAGAATTTCAAAGGTTTTATCTTCATCTTGTTAATAATGAGATATTAAAAACTGAACAAATGTTTATCTCTTCCCCAAATAAATTTCTTGGAACCTTCTTATTCATAAAAATAAATATTTAGTAATGATACAACAGGGGAGAGATCTGGACTGATTATTTTTCTGTATTTAACCCAGATATTCAGTATATTACTTATTATTACATGATCTCTTAAAAATTTGTGTCATCCCTGAGATATTTATGCAAACCATCTGGAAGTCCTGCCCTTTCATAGATGTAACCAAGCCATAAGGAGATACAATCCACTCTGAAATCCATGTTAAGCCACTAGTACGGTAATCTGAAATTTGGAACTGCTAATCCACCTCACAGTTTTGAGTCTTGTTTTTGAGTTGCTAATTTAATTCCTGAAATCTTATTTTCCTGACATATTTTCATTGCTAATTATTGTAATGCCAAAAATAAAGGAGATGGGAAAAGGCACCCTTGTTTTGTCCCCTTCAATACAGTGTAT